AAAGACATGTCAACGAAGAGGTGTTCTTTTTCAGCCTTTCCCTACTTTAGGGTCTAACTCTGCCCCTGTGAAGTGCACTGCAAAGGTCTACTTCAGCAGTGGAAAAATCACAATCTTGAAAATGACATTGTTAAGCAGGACTGATACCACTGAAAATAATGTAATTATGTGGGGTGATGCAGAAATCAGTCTAAAGCCTAAGGATTTGTTTAGCTATAGCATGCCAGCTCCTTTGGAAGGCATATTCTGATGAGAAAGAGCAAGCTTTGACATTGCTCTGCTTTGTGAAAGAGCAAATTATTTCCCTTCTAGTGGAATATGCCCTTATTGACTGCAGAGTGATCTAGGATCTGCCTTTTATTCCTTAAGAACACACTTAAGGATGGAAATGTCCACTTACCACAATAAGGAAGAGAGTCACAGTCAGCTGTGATGGCATCCTCGTAACATGGAACTCACTGGCTGGTTCAATGGGATGAATGCTGTTGTTTCCCTGCCCTTCTGGCATAGCAGCAAAAGAGTATTCCTCACTTCTCACTGTTGAAAGGGCTCCTGAAATTAATATCCCTTCTGCTTCCTGTTATCCTGATGAACAGACAAATACAACTTCAAGCATGCTACAGTGACACTGGTATATTGGACTGTTACCTAACAGTTGCAACTTTTCCCTCCCTCTCCAATTTTGTCATAAAACACACGCATCAGGTAGACCAAAATGCTTCTACATCCCACTTTTGCCATTGGCCAATGAAAGATGATTAAGAAGAGCACAAGAAACGGGGCAATTTCAGGCATTCCCTGACGTACCCAGTATATCCTCCCAGCTTCCTGAGATCAGCTGTTTATGATCTTTCCAGGAGAAGGTTAGACAATGATTTCTTTTATCCAGTAGTCAGTTAAGTCATGGAAGTCAAGGTTTTGCCAAAGAAAGATACTCAAACACAAGGCTGCAAATTTAAAAATAAAAAGAAATTACATTTCCTACCCAAAAGAACTGAGGGGTAGGATGGAACAATCCATGCCAACCCTTGTGTAGTTTATAATAGAAATGGACAGTAGAAGATGTCTGCTTCCAAAAACTGTTCTTCCGGCTTCTCTAGGTGATGAGCCTGGTGTGCTGGCAAAGGCAATCCTCTCTGATGCAGAGCCTGCTATTACTTTCAAAGCTGAGATTCAGTTCCAGCCCAAATGGAAAAGATTAAGCTTTAATTCTGCTCATTGCACTCCAGGCAGTGGATGAAGATCAGTCTTATCTGCATATACATTTAGTGCCATTATTTCTACTCTGATTACCCAAATCAGCTCTGATATTTTCCATAAACCAGCCCTTAATAGTACTAAATCATTAAATCATTACTCAGATATACTTCCCAGTAAAATGCCCCTTGAAGGGGCCTCTGAATGTTTTAACATCCAGAAAGAGGAAATCAAGTCTTTGGAGGTCTGTAGATAGAGAAGTAGGATGAGGACTTCAGCAACAAGAATGGGTTTGTACAGAAACTTCTCTGCCACTGAACAGCTGAAGGATTTGTCCAGATCAATGTCCTCATGCCCTTGGTACAAGTCCAGTACTCATCCTTCTTTGGAAGTTGCTTTTAGGCACATGAGAAAAAAATCTAACTAGAGACAGGAAATTAAGGTTGGAGTATCTGAGAATTCTTCCCAGCTCCATTCTGTCACATCTTTTTTTCTTCTTTGATCACTTTCTTTTGGTGGTTGGTCAGCTTTCCTACCAGGAAGAGTATTTTTGTTTTGCTTTGTGTAGGCTTGCTGCATAGCAAAAAGTGTATCTACAAACACTCAGTTAGTGCCTTGAATAAAAGATCGAGCTGCTGGTTACAACATCAGCCATTTCACTTGTCATAACAACCTATTCTGATTTTACAGTAATCAATAATCAACAGGATCAATAAGAACCTTTCCATTGACCTTAACAGCAGCTGGAGCTGGTCCCAAATATTCTGGGGTTTGTTAGCCTGAGCTTTTATCTTCTGCAGTGCTACAGCAATGATATTTATTAAAACTTAGCAAAAAGAATTGCTGTTATCAGTGTGTGAGGCCAAATACAGTTGCATCTCTAACATGCTGGCATGGCACCATTAATTTACAAGACAGCAGAATAGAGTGGCGATACATAAAACTGAAATTCCAATTAGAAATATGTACCCTGATTTCTGAATACCCCTACAATGATTGTGACATTTATTTACAATAAAACAACCTATCCCCAAGACAGACAGAGATACTTATTTTATAATCCGAGTTTATAAGATGCTGCTTTTTGTGTCCAGTATAAAACACAGTAGGAGTAGTGTTGTTGATATAATAGGATGGTTGGCTTCTTTTTTACCATGGTGAAACCTTTCCTATCAAAAGAGAGATGACAGTTTCGGAATCATTGTGAAGCAGAAGAGAAGGGTGAATAGTGAAAGAAGCATTGCTTACTATTTTAATTTATGAGTTTTCCTGTAACGCTTGTCAGCCCAATAGCTAAGCAGTTCTCATGTGATGGCAACTTTCTGCCCTGCTACCAATAAGACTCAGGAAAATGTTATTTCAGTTTCACAGAGGTGTAATCTGAGGAAGGTGGGGTTTGGATGACACTAGGAACACATCAGGCAGCAGGAAACAGGATTAAGATTCTCTGTGAGTTCAGTATCTGAATCCCCAAAACATCCCTCCAGTGCGTGAAGCAAGTGACCAACCCTAGCTCACACAGTTTGTTTTAGCTAATAGAATCTGTGAATGGCTGGCCCATTAGCTGAAATTGTAAAGGGCCGGAACAGAATGGGAGGAGGGATGAGCAGACAGAACACTAGTCCAAGCAGCTCTACCACATGCTCTGTTGACCTATAGCAAATTGCTTGGACTTTTGGTGCATCCATCTCCAATGTGTTAAATTTGTTACTTTGAACCTACTTTGCAAGGGTCTACTGAAGCAGTGAGTTGGAAGACTGTGAGATTGTTCACAAAAGTATTTGGGAAAATCTAAGATACCTGCAGGAAAAAAAAAACCCAAAGGCTTAAAAATCCTGTTTTCTTTTATCTGGGTATGGACCTCTAACCTCTTTGTATTGTTTCAATCCTTTAAATTGGCAGACAAAGACCTAAGTAAGGTCGAGGCTGTTGCCTGAGGAAACTCTTAAGTTTGTCATGAAGCAACAAAAGGGAAGGTGCTGTTTTGCTCCAGAGGAGCTCTTCTCCACTTGAGAGTAAAAGAAGCAGAAAATTTTTCATTAGGCTTGTGCTGGAGGACAAGAAAATACTGTATATTTTCTTTTTTAGAGGAGGAGTCCCTTTTGTTACCTGGTGGCAATATTAAGAGAAGAGCCCTCATCAAACAAAAACATAGATATTTCATAATCCCACAAAACCATTAGATACTCCTAACATTCATCACTGGCATCCTGCTTTGGGAGCTCAAAGAGCTGCTCAGACATTAGCTAATTACATTTGGCACAATCATCTCATCTTACATGCTTGCAGACACATTAGGTCACATGCTTGGCTGATATGAAGTTTTGATTTCAGCAGCATGGCTCATGTACTTCAGCTGAGGACAAGACCTTTTGTTTCCATTTCTTATATGTAAGGAAAACCATAACCTTATATCTGCAATTCCATATAGTGAGGAAGGACCAAGATGAAGGCTTCACCTTATGTAACCACAATTCAACCAGGAGCTCCCACAGAGCTAAATTAAGATTTCTTTTTGTTTGCCACAGGGTAATACAACAACATTGAAAATGAAAACTTGACTCAGACCACGGTGAAATGATCCCAAAAGAACAGTAGAATTGGGGTTTCTCAAAACCCATGGGGGGCTGCAAGGAAGTTAAAAGAAATGGAATACAGTAAACAGCAGAGTTGAGAATTCACAGGTCAGAACAAGATCTCCTCCTGTTCATCTGGCAGAAGCACTACCACCAATTACACTGGACACTAGATCAGCCCTACAGAGTGGCAAACTTTCCTCCAAACCTCTGTAGGACTAATCTAGTGTCCAGTGAAATTGGTGGAGGGAAAGAAAAGCATGGACAGGGGTAAATAAGGCTTCACTACCTGTACAAATGCTAGCATATCACCACCACATATAGAATGAGAAAAGCGGGAGCACAACTGAACTTTAAGAGCTTACTTTTCTCTGATGGCTGTAAATCAAAGAAATCTGTGTTCTTGGCTCTTTTCCTTGAAAAACATTTATCTCTTGATAATGAGGAAGGGACAAAATAAGGCCATCAATCAATAACATATTACACATTAATGGTCACTGTACTCACCTGGACCCTAAGCTGGCATTGTTTCCCCTTATTGCAGCTGAAAGATCAACAGCATTTCTCCTCAGCGGGTCCTCTGGAAGCTTTGACAGGCAGGTGAGCAGCTCATTAGGACCACCAGCTTAGAAGGTCACTGATTCCATCACCTAGCAATTGCGACCACCATGAAATACACAGTTAAGCCCACACATGTTCACAAAGGTCATGTATTTATCACTGTCTGCGAGTTCAGGGGTGTCATTCTGCTGTCTTACCTGTTAGAGTAATGGCAAACATATGCTAAGGTACTCAGGGGAAAACATATCTTCAGGTGAAAACCTAGGAAATGCATCTAAGGATGCTTGGTTTTTCAATACTGATTTTAATAAGGCAAGAATTAATCCATAACCACAAAATAACTATAGAATAAACTCAACACAAAAATAAAACATCTGAATTACAAAAAAGAATTAATGCAAAAAAAGACTTGTCTAAAAGCTTACAACCAGCCTGTGCTTAGGATATTTGTTAAAATGGAGAGCTAAAATGAAGAGCAAACAGAGACAATGTTATTTAGATATGGAAATCAGTATATCCATACTGAGTAGGTGCTTGTTAAACTGTAGGTATTGTTAGAGGAATGTCTGAAGAAATGACTTGTGATTAGAAAATCAGTCTTCATCCTGCATGGTTAGATGAGACTGAAATTTGGCAGTGTGTCCAAGACATCATACAGGAAGGAACAACAGTATTTAGCTTTTATTTTCTACAGCTGACTACAGCCAGCAGAGCACTGTACAGGGACAAATTTCAGTTGTGCAAGAGTGGTCAAATGGGACCTCCTGAAGTTAACTCCCCTTCCCTAGTCTTCCTTGAGGCAGATCTCCACAGACAGTAGTTTTCTGCTTGAAGACAGTTGTAGCTGGAAATTCATCTCATCTGGCCATTTGATTAAAAGGTGGAGGACTGTGCACTGAGCGGGGCTACTTTTGTCTGAAACCACTCACTGAAGTCCTCTTCTGGCATCTGCACAATACTTTCACGTACAAACTGAAAGAGAAAAAGGTTCTTTCCTGAGGTTTTGATTTGTATGTGAGATAATGTGGGAAAATTTGACCATTGTGACAAATGTAATGGCTTTCTGCAAACAGTATAGTGCTTTATATCACCAAAACATTTTTAATGAAACTTTCAGAACAGCTCTAAAATTAAATTCAAGGAAAACTCTACAGTCTTTATTGCTATTTACATCCTGATTCCCTCCAAGTTAAGTCACTGTGTTTTAAATTTGCAGCTGTCTTCTACCTATTATTGCAGTATATACATTAAAGCAACTTGAAGTTAAGAACGAACTTCATCTGGAATCTCCATCAGTATCAGCCAGGTCATATTCAGTGATGCTCTTCTAGCTCCTAAAATGCAAGTTTCTTTTATCTATTCCAGTCAGAAGGAGCACCACGGTCCTCCTTCCTCTGTGGCTATTTTTGAAAGATGTATAAGTAAACAGATAGGAGATTTAGCTATGCTCACATGTTTTTCTCTATTACTATTGCACTAATATGAGGGATCAAAATGTGAAGGTAGCAGAATGGAAACAGCGAATAAATAGATCTGAAACCAGCAAGCAACAGAGACTTTATATTGAACATTAAGGCAAGGCTGCCTCTCTGGTTACTGACTATGCAAATTAGGGCACAGACCAAAATGGCTCTTTTTATAAGACATCAAGAAAATACAAGCAGTGTGATCTCAGCATGCTGGGTGCTAAACCTTTGCCTTTGTAAGGCATGCTAACACTTGATATATGTAAGATGCACAGTAACCTGCTGCTTCTCAGAGACTTCTGTTGTAGATTAGGGGAAATAACTGTGATGAGAACAAAAACCACAAGGAGGCAACATTGCCATTTTTTGTAAGTTAGTTACCTGGTTAGGCTACATAGCAGTGTACATACTACATGTATTCTCTTCCCTTTCTCGTGTCCCTCCTCTTCTGCCAATTGTTTCCAGAACTACAAGAGTTGAGCCCAATTTACGATCTTGAGAAGTGGATTATTTTTTTTTAATGTTGCTGAAGCAAAACAAAGATATGTGCAGAGTTCCTGGATCAGTGATGTAATACTTTATTTGAACAGCTCATGGATATAACTGCTGGGAATCACAGGCCTTTCCAGGACACAAGTTAATGTTTCTCTTCAAGTGTCCTAACAATTTATGTCAGATGTCACTTTCACTGAGGTATTAAATAAATCAACAATGACATAATAATAAAATGATACTGATTAATAATTCAATGCTTGTCATAATATCTTTCTTCTGAGGAGTTCAAAGTGCCTTGTAAAAGGTGAATGGTAGCATATTCATTTAGTGAGATCCTAAATTATTTCATCTTGTAACTTTCCACTGCATGAATTTCACCCATAGATGCCTGCTTTCCCCACCCTTATCACACAGAGAAACAAGAACTGAATTTATCTTACCTCCACAGCTGCAGCAACTTCTGGAGAACACAGCTCCCACACCTGTAGATCAGCCAGAGCCTTAAGAAAGGTGTCTGGATGAATTTTCAAGTTGGGAATCTTGCCATATTTTTCCAGTTTCTTTAAGATTTTCTGTACATAATGGTCACTCTTTACAGACTCTGGAAGTCTGGCAAGCAATACAGGAAACCTTTAGCAGAAAGAACAACAGCAATAAAAGAGAAACCATGGGAACAAATGCATATCTGATTAATAACTCTGGTTTTGCCTGGCATTTCTGCCACTTCACCACTTCCATAACTTCCACAGAAAAAATGGCTCTTTGGGGAATGCAATACTCAGTGTAATTCTGAGTGAATAATGTGAAAGAGCTTTACTTTATTGGACTTGTGCACCAATTCCCTTTGCAGGGCATTGAAATAGATGCTTCTTCATTGTTCATTTAAATCTTGGATGACAAACTTGGGTATGAAAGGAAATAATAAAATCCTAACAAATTATTCCATTTTACTACAGATTTGTCCTCTTCATCTTTTCTCTATTTATTTTGTTTAGCCTCTATGGATTTTCCAGTGCAATCAGTGCCTGATCTGACACACTTTCTGATTCTCTTTACTATCCCTTTTCCCTGTGCTATCATCATTCTCCTCTCTCTATGTGCTGACATAAATCTCACTGATGGAAGTGCACTGTAACACGCAGTCTTTACCATTTCACTCTGAATATAGAGATTCAGAAGTAGAAATACACATTACAATAAAAATAAAAGTCTGCCTTTTTTTTTTTTTTTTTAATGTTCTGTATAAATTCTGCAGTGCTGCTTTGACAGTCCAGAAGACTGATGTTCCAAACTTTTCTAGACTGTGCATGACTGGGGTGCACTGTGGCTTTCATTGCAAAGGGCACATCAGCAGGAAGCGCTGCCTCCCTCCAGCTTAGGATACATGTTACTTGGACAGCAGGAGAGGGGTGAGGAATTTCCTCCTTAAACCAGTAAAAAAAGGAACCATGTAGCTTCTCATCTTCACTAGGGCCAGTTCTACACTCAGTAGTACACTGCTGATATGGGTATGGCTGTATAGCCAACTCCTTACTATCACTGTCTAGATTACCCAGGTTACTGTAACATGTCACACACAGGCCTTTTACAACCCATTCATGCATTAAGATATTTTATTTCAGAAAGGAAGCTACATTTAGCATTCACATATTATTTTTGTTTTTTCTCACTTCATGAGAGAGATAAGACAACTAGACTGACAGCATATACTAGTAAAGTGTTCCTAATGTGATTCAGCTTTCTTGGCAGGGCAGAGTTTGCAAGGGTATGGGAAAAAACAGCCCTATTGTAATGGAGTGCGTGCTATTGTGAAAGCAATTTCTCTGTTATGACTTGTGTCTCCACAAGGGGGTTGACCAGCCTTGCCAGAGATTTCACTCTTCATACCCCTCATGGATAGCACTTTGCAGAACGGGCCTGGCATAGAAAGCTAAACTTGTCTAACTATGCTGGCATAGTGAAAGCAAGACAGCCACCCCCCAGCAGATCTGTAGTACTATCCTCGCATCAGGAGAAAAGTAAAAAGTCATATTATAGTATAGTCTCCTTTATATTCATGAAGCTTTGTCCAAATTAAGGCTTCTTCTAGTGAAACTGTAAGTATAAAAGCAAAACTACATCCACTCCAGTTTCAGGGCTTATTTACATGCCAGATCCTAAATTTGATCTGTTTGAAATTTAATGTTTGAAAATTAAAACCAGAGTTCTGCTAAATAGGCCAAGACTAGATTTATTCATTAATGCATGACTGTTGTGTTCCTGGTGTGTCCTAGGCCACTTGCATTTTGGACCTGAGTTTAGAAATGGACTTTTTGTTATCTCAGATTATGAAGGACAGAAGGCTTACTAGCAAGGAGAGCAAAAGAGGGCAGGCTGAAAAAAAACAAACATTCCATGCAAGTTTGCATACTCCCATGTCCAAGGAGTTCTCATGGACAGGGCGGTAGGGAACATGCTGTGAGCTTGCTGAGGTATTGCGGTAGGCTATTTCTAGTGTGTATCTGGAAGTCAGTTACTGGATACAGCTAATATCCTTTCAAACATAAACCACTAGTAATCTGCAGAATTGCGGTACTGGGAAGCATTTAGGTGATTATTCTACTTGTCCATGTAAGTGTTGCAGTATTATCCAAGTGCAGTTCAAACACTGGCAGGGAAATATTTTTCTTTTTAACATGGATGGACAGCTAGAGTCAGTCTCCTTTGCCATCAGTTTTAGTATTGTGAATGTTCAGTTCAGTAAGAAGTTATGAATCTAACCCATGTACATTTATGCAATCTCATCTGCAGGGTACAGTGTGTTTTACACTGTGCAAATGCAAGGACTGACTGCTTTTTGCTCAGTATCACTGGAAAGGAACTCTTCCTTATCCCCCAGGCCGAGATCTGTTCCTAGAGATCATATCTGTATTTTTGTTGCTATCAGTTTGAAAAGGCTGCATTTGCAGTAACTGATTCAATGGTTTCTAGTGATACCTGGCTTTGGGGAGAAAAAAAGAAAACTAAAAAAGCTTTTCGTACTAGAGACAGAACTCTAGGACCCTTGTCTGTGTCATTTGAACTGAGGATTTCTGTGCTTCCTTACCAGTTTAGTCCACCTTCATCATGTTCTCTTTCAGCTCTCACACCCAGCTGTCTTATTCTTTCCATGTCTCTTCTGAAATACTTCAATTGTTTCAAAGCCTCATATTTTTGACAACACCGCTCTTCCTGTCTCCTACAAAAAAAACCCTTAAAAGTTAAAGCTGTGTTTTAAACATTACCATACTTCTATATAGTTAACTGGGAAGATACTACGGACGGCAGAAAACAACAAATCTGAAGAACACATTCTATGTTCAGTATGTGGGCACTAATAACAACTTTAGTCTTTTCAGTGTTCTGAACACATTAATATTTCTACAAACATATTAAAAAGTGTTTATGTTTTGTATTAACTCTAGGCTGTAGATAAGAAACAAACTTCAGAATCAAAACATTTAAACTGAAATTCAACTTCCCCTTTCTATCAGATGTCCACTGCTTAAAACCAAACAGAATACCGCACGGTGATTTAGGGTAAAATATTATTTAAAATACAACAGAAGAGAGGTGGAATAGTGACTTGACCCAGATGTTGGGCTTATGTATGCATTTCTACAAAAAGAACTACTGTGTCAGAACAAAAATAAACATCATCTTTTCTTTCCGATAAATTACTTATACTATATCCTGCCAAACTGAGTTTTCATCTCCACATGCTGATCAACCAGAATATAATTGTGTGGCTGTATGGAGAACAGTAAAATAGCTGCAAGTAGTAAGTTTCCATCTGACTTGTCCATCCATACTGCAGGATGCTGGAATGATTAGCTCCTTATGCAATCACAGCAGCTGCTCAGGGAAGAAAACAAGGACCCAGCTCCTTGGAGTCAAAAAAAAAAAATCTAAGTACAACATGGAACAGAAGAATGGGAAGAAGAAGACAGTGAGAAGGGGAAAGAAAAATGTACCTATAACACCCTTCAGAACAGCAATGTAGAGAAGGAACTCAGGTCTGATGCTTACTGAAACAAAAGAATTTGCACAATCACAGATGAATGTTTCTGGGTGAAAGGAAAAGGATGACAGGCTTCAGCTGCTCAGCAAGGTAGAAATGTCACTGATCTGGGAAAAGGCCTTCAGAGAGGACATTGAGAAGAGCCAAAATAATGTTGAAGAACAATACAGTGATCTCTGAACTGAAAACACAAGACAGCCATACAGATTGTATGTAGACTGAATTTATTATTCTGGTTTTGGGTGAAAGGGACTAGGGCGTCCAAAGTAAATATATCCAATGTTTTTAGCAAAAGTATTTCCAGAAAATTAATTCAGAAATATCACAAAACAGTGCTGTAAATATTTAACCTGTAATATATATTTTGTACACAGACAGTCATAAAACTTTCTATCATCATCCCTATATTCTTATTTTAATCTTAATCCATATAAATGCATCTTTAAAAGGCCTGAAGACAAGTCCTAAATCTGGTCAGAAGCAAGGTGTGTAGTGTTATACAGAAAACAGTCTCTTCCTACCTCTCAAGGTTCATTAGGGTATTGTGTAAACTGTGAGCTGCTTCTTCACGTACTGCTGTGAACTTTTGCCTCATAGCAGCACACAAGTTAGATTTGCTTTTAATGAAAGAGCTGATATGGAAGCTGCAATAAAACAATACAAAAAACTGGAATTAACACCTTGTGGTAACCATTTTGTAGTAAGCACCTGTGTTGCTCAGAGCATACAGTGATGTGAGCCCATGTAAATTCTGAAATCTTATTCTCAGTAACAATCCAAATTTAATATAATTTACAGGCTTTTAAAATTCGTTAAATTTATGAAAGAATTTGATTAATAAAAAAAAAGTAAGTAATATTAAATTTGGATTTTTACCATCTTTCCAGTCACATCGTTCCAGGAAAGTGCCTTCGCATTGCATTGAAATGTACTAAATATGCTGCAAGGTTTCACTGGCTTGCTCTGAACTCATGTAATAAAATGCTCTCTGACATTTGCACGTCAAATGCTTTTCACACATAGAGCTGAGTTTATACAGCATATAATGTGCTTCAAAACCAGATTTGTACATTTACCCCTGCCTTCTGGGACTCTGTTTCCTTGATATTATACTCTCTTGGTCCTTAACGAACGGCATATTTACTCTGTAGTTCTTCTGAGCCACTGGCAATGAACTAAGACACGACAAGGTTTAAAATAGTGTACAGTATGCCTGCTCCAGAATGTGAAAAATTCTACAGGTGCTGATAAAACATTCTTAATATTACAGACTTGCTGGAGCTATCCAGGTACAAAATTTATTTCTCTTGACCTCAACTCAAGGGAAAAAATGCTACAGCAAAGTCTAATTGTAAGAATGGTTTATCATGTTGATCTTATAGCTGTGGAAACTACCACAGAACAGAGTAATGAACAGATCTAATATAAGCTTAGCTAGAAATATTAAGAGACTACTGAAAAATACAGGAATAAGATAGAACATCGCTTTTTCTACAGAGCCGCTGGAGCATCTCTTCTGTTTGCAAAGGCAAGACTCACGGGGTAATTTCCAGAAAATACATATACTGCTTGCACAGCAGTAAAATGGGCCAAAAAATGTAAATGCCATCTGAATTCTGAATTCACTGAATGCTGAATTCAGCTGGGGGCGTTTGGGGGTGAAGCCAGGGAAAAGAAAAAAAAAAAAAAGCATAAACTGTGTCCTGAGGTATTGCTTCTCCTTTCTCCTAGACATCCAGAGTCCATCAGGCAACGTACCGCTGCAATCCAATCTTCTTAACCATATCCTCTTGTTTATGGACACCTTTTGACACCTCTTCATGTGTTACCTGGATGGCTTTCTGTAGGGCTGATAAAAAAGTTCTGTAAAAACATGCCAACTCATAATGCATTCCTCTCTTCCTTGCAGAGAGGATGCCATCTATACTGGCCTGAATGAGACATCCTAAAGAAACCTGCTATTTAGTATTTCTAAAAATTACAGTTTCTTCTACAAAAAGCAGCTGTTTTAAGAGGTTTCAAGGTAGGTACCCAAATACAAATTCACCCAATTCATTAATCACTTTTGAAAACATCAGCTTTGTTTTTTCAGCTGTGAAAGAAACCCAACTGATTAAGTAGAAGATAATAAATATTTTTTACATTAGATGCTTATAAGAGTAATGTATTAGAAAACCAGGTAGATTTGAACAAACTATGCAGAAGGTCTATTTTTAGTTCCCGTACTGTGCTGTTAGCATTCTACTGGCATAACTGTCAAGTCTTCTGAATTTCTAAGTCTACCATATCACTTTGCCATTCTTCTTTTAAATGTCAGATGGAATTTAATACATTTAACATCAACAGGTATCTAATTACCTCTCTCTGTCTCCTTATCAGCATCCAATAAAACTTAAAACATGTCCTCAAGTAGCCCTTCATTGGCTATAGTTTCCAGATTATCCACCTTTGAGCAGATCTCTTTCACTAATAACACTCTTTACTCTCTCTCTGCCTCCCACTGTAATATGAATGCTTATATTTTCCTCTCCTTTGAATACCTAGAAAGCCAATTTAACTCACTGTTTTACTTCAAATTGACATCTTTGTTTTCCTTCCCACTGCTATTTCATTCCTGCTTTGATGCCAAACCCCTGGAGAGACACAGACGGCCATCTTCTCTGCATTATTCCTTCCAATCACTCATGCAGTAAAACAGCTGTCACACTTGTTATTAAAAATCCCAGTGTTAGCTGTCAATTTCTAAGTTATCCTCTGAGGTGCTCAGGATGTCCTACATGGTAATAAGTGACATTTTACTGAGTAGTCAACACCTTGAAGTTGTAATCCCCAAATTCAAAAGCTCTTTTTCCTACATTTTTGTGAAGCACCACATATAGTATAATAGAAAATGACTGCTGAATGCTGACTGTGTTAAACAGCAGCACAAACTATTTCTACTTGTCAAAAGTACAGATTTGAATATTATACTGTGAATTTATAAATGTAAGACATGGATGAAACAAGTTGCTGGGCACCAGCTAATGGGCTAAAATTTTAAGAACCATGCTTATAATGAAGATCCTCTATTAGCTGTGGACAGGTGAGTTTCAAAAGTGCCAAGGTCCCAGTCAGAAACTCCCAAGTTCTAGCACTGACTGGTTCTAATGGTGGCTCCACTGTGACCCTTACTAGTCTCAAAGCGCAAGCCTGTAAGATGCTGGTTACGCCGCTGAATCTTCTAGAGCTCTAGACCTGAGGAGCAGTTTGAATACAAAGGCTGACCTCCACATGGTCTGAAACCTGACATCGATATGGGCAGTGCATACAAATCTCATCTATTCTTGGCACACAGCGTCAGAATCTTTCTTAGAAGAACTCAGTCCTTTCTATTTACATTTACCATCTGGGCAGATTAAGTAGCTGGATATCTGAAACCCATCTACTCTGCAGATAATGGTGCTGTGGAGGAAGAGTGCTATTCTAAGCATTTGATGTTTCTCCAAGATCAGTTGAGCTGTCTGAAGCCAGTCCTGAAAGCAGTCCTGTGCAGATTTTGGAGGGAGATGACAAGAAGCAAACCTGGGCTAACAAAGCTATAGTTCCTCTTTTGGCTGATCAGCAGAAACAGAGGGCACGATTCCCCTCTGCCCCCCATTTTGTAGCATTAGAACCTGTTCCAATTCTCCATCTGGAGAAGCTGGGAAAACAAACACTCCAGCTTGTCCATATTCATAATATTTTTGAAATATTAACCTCTACAGCAGTGAGCTAGTCAGACATTAATTAGAAAAGAGAAAAACAGCAAAGAATAATGTATTAATTTCACATGACCTTGATTTTTATGCCTTAGTAAATAAGCTGTGAAATGGGGTACTAGTATTTACCTGTTTTACAGGGATCTAAGAATGTTAAATAAATTGAAAAGACATTGATCAACCCCAAAGGAAAGCCCCAAAGTCAGGTATAAGCTCTATAATGAAGATTCTTTGCACAAATATTTATACCTTGTCTTTTAAAAGTAGCAGTTTGAGTGAGATTCAAAGCTAAACTGCTGTCCAGAAAGCTTTGAGGATAAAATCCATTTAGTGTTTAATGTCCCAGATACAGGTCTCACATTTTCTTCTCTGAAGAAAATGTATGTCATTTGAACTGATCTGCATACACACATTCTTCATTACACAATAACCATGAAAAATTAGGCTTACATTTAGTATATTTAGATCATATAGTCTCTGTCTGCACAAAAATAGATTTATTTTTTTTTTTAATGGGATGAAGGAAGCAAGATTAGAACACTAATCTGCTTTGTAAAACCCCTTGACTGATTAGGTCGGAACTGAATGATAAATGAGACTACCTCAGCAGTGACCTGTTATACCACAGCTGCAAGGACTGCAGCTTCCACATTTACCTTTGCGAACATGATGTAACACTTAAACTTTTGGACTAGTACAGGTCCTCACTCAGTCAAAAGCACTGCAAAATCAAATTTGTATAAGCAGACATTCTACAACAACAGTCCCCAAACAAGAGCTTCTAAATTACAGTTGGACAAAAGGCTTTATATTGAGTTACAAATTCTTTCCTTAAAGAAATTATTCTGTAAGAGTCACACTCAGCTGTATCTAGTGATTAGCTGCCTACTACATAATCTCCTTCCCACTTTTGAAATATATATATGTGTATATTTGTGCTAGGGTTGTGTGTGCTCTCAAAATTATGTCTGTATGAGTTACATGAAGTTTTGTGAATTTGGGTATAAGGCTACAGGACAGCTGTACTTGTAAATCCATTTCTGATTTGTCCATGAAGCATCCTATAATCAGAATCCTGGATTAAACATGATTCTAGCAGCTCCTCAATTCATTACAGAATTCAACCTTTGCTACAGAGCTACCCTGCAGAAACCAACTTCCCATATTTATTAGAGCTAGGGACATAATCCTGGAGAGGACCAGACTGGTAACTCAGGCCAGTCTCCTGAAATCACAGGCAACTATGTGACAGCTGCTGTTCCAAAGGGTACACTGAACAGCCTTCCCATACATCACACATACTGCAAGATATTTCTTTACATCCCACAGCAAACGGCGGCTCCCAGCTGTTACAGCTCAAGATTAGTTTCAAATCTCATCTCACACACAAACCAGTTGTTCACCTACATCTGTAAACAAATTGCTTGAAATCATATCTTTGAATTCTCCACTACTCCCATTCATGCCATAGGAAGGCCATTCATCTGTCCTCAGTGCCATGGACAGCAGCAGCTGTGTAGGTAGTATATGGTATTAGCTTAAGCTTCCCAATATATCCACCCAGATTCTGGCAGTGTGAACCTAAAGGTCTTTCCGATCCAAAGAACATGTCCATCCCTTTACATTTAAGAGCAATTAATTGTTTTTTCTTTAAGTCGCTTTTGGACTTGAATAGACTTCCAGCAATATACGGTAGCAAAGAATTCCTAGGTTTAAACACACATTGCATGAAAACACTTCCCATTGTTTTAAATTTTCTGTCAGATAATTTCATTTGGTGTGCCATAAATCTGGTGTCAAGGGAACTTGTGAATAACCACTCTCTAATCACTTCTTTCCATGCACTTCATGATGTTACAGAGATCTGTCATAACTTTGTACTCAGCTGTTTCTTTTCTGCACTGAAGAGCCCTAGTCTATTCAATTTGTTCTCATCCTGAAGCTATTCTATATCTCTAACATACCTCACCACTTTTTTGACATCAAACTTTACTGCTTCTGATACCAGCCTGTCTGAATTGGAAGGAACAGAACTGAAGCAGCACGTACAAAACGTTTGTATTTCTGCATAATGTGTTTTCTGCTTTGTCTTCCACTTCATTCTTAGGGTTCTTCTTGCCTTTTTGAGAGCTACTGAACATTCAAAGTGCTATCCCAAATGACTCCAAGAGCAACTTCCTGAGTGGTAATTTAGAGTCTAGCAGAGCAGGATGTCAGCCAAATAATGATAATATATATATCAATTAAAAGGTAATTATCAGTACTAAATACTAATGTGCATTTCTGGTCCAGCTTTACTTATAAGGAAAGGAAAAGATTTAAGATTACCTAGCTTTGTACTGAAATGCATCGCAGAGCTAACAGATAAACTATTCTGTCAGGTCTATCAAGTGCAGGTAATCACTGATGGATGAGTAGGAAGAATAGCGAGTAAGAAACCCCTAAGTTAAACAGAACCTCCTAAATTAGACAGATACATATTCAGTGGATCAGTTGGTTATGGCAGAGAACAGTTTCCCTGTTTTTACCACCTGTTGGACCTTATAGATATGGATGACAGTCAAATTATACAATTGCTGTAACTGAATATTAATTAAATCTCTTAATAGTCACATGGGATTATATTGTCTTTAAACCAATTTGCTAATGGGGAGGGCACAGAGAGACTTGTACAAAGTTCCATATGTCTGAAGAGAACTACACTGGTACATCTAGCAGCATCTTTGATGTAGGTTCTCCCTAGCAACACTGAACACATTGTTTGATATTGGCAGTCAGGAAAAATAACTTACATGGGAAAAGAGGTTGTTGTTCTTTAGATTGTGCTGACTCACTCATAATATCAGATGAAGCTACATTAATCTCGACGTTGTCTTCAGCGCAAAGTACAGTGGAAGTTTCGCTGCCACGAGGAGTTTGACCACAGGGAGATGACTGACTGCTAAGCTGAGAGATACGTGGAGTATATGCCTTGTTTAACTTCCTGCTAAATGGATTGTATCGTGCTTTCCAGGTGCATCTCTGTACATAGAAGGAGAAATGAATAGAAAGGACAGATTTTCTATAGTGATTTGACAACAAAGAATCATATTTCTATAACTAATTCCAATATTAGAGCCTTCTGGTCCTCCTGTAACCTCACAGGTTTTTTTTCAGTGACTTCAAACAAGCTAGTGATTTCTTGGCTAGGACCTCCTTCATTTTGTTATCTCTTTTCAATACTCCCCTGCTATAGCATTAGTGCCAACAGATTAAGCTAATTTGTAAACAAGTAACACTGCAGCTGCAGAGGGGGTTGCTAATAGAGCAACCTTCTCATGTAGAAGGAATAATAGGTCAGAGTGGTTTGATAAATGTTCAGGTCTCCTCCCAACACCCAGTAACTTAGCAAATGAATTTCCTGTGTCAGGAATGTAAAACTGAAGTCTGAATTCTGCAGGCTTGATAATCAGAGCAATACATATTATAAAGCAAGTGACCCTGAAAGAACCCAATATTTTCACTAGAAGTTTCATATCAAATATGAAAAACAGTCTTCAGGTAATACTAGTGTAAGTGACAGAAAGGAAATTGTCATTAATTCAGGGAGGACAAAAATAAAAGCCTCAGCAATGTAAATACTAAAAGACACATCAAGACTGACATGCACTTTGGTTTCCTCTGCTCATGTTCATTTGGACCTGACTTTAGAGAACTGGTAAGACTGTATGGACAAAGCAGAAAGCCTCATATTTAGAAACAACTCTGTTATTTATGTGACTTGCTGACTTTCCCTCTGTTTGCTAACAGCAGGAAGAATATTTGCATAAACCCACAATCTTTGTCTTTCAAAAGTTTTACAACTTTTGCTGCTTATTCCCCAACAGAAATCATAATCTTCTACTGAATCACTTTAATAATTATGTCATGAGGGTACGAGCTGCAGGTGTTGACAAATAACAAGAGCAAATAGTCTGCATGTAGCAACAGCTCATATTTTTAAGAGTGCCTCACCTGGGGTTCTAAAAGCACTTTACAAAATTTGTTTAATTTAGCCTTATGGGGGGCAAGTCAAGGAACTAAAAGCTTAAGCAAACTGCTGAAGATCAAAATGTAACATGTGCTACAGAGTGAGAAACCCACTGTTTTTCTATTGAGTTCTCCTAGTTATCCTCCTAAGCATCACTCATTCCCCCTTCATTTTCCTCCAGTCACTTCAGCAGTTTCAAAAGGAAAGTCTTTCTGTGGTTTCAGAAATATAGTAAAACAGTTACCAAGTGTTACAGAGAGTTTTATAATGTTTTGTTTCCTCTCAGGTATTAACTTTATTTTTCTTCTAAAAGGCTTTAATCTCAATTGCTCGTTTTCTCCTTTCCTTAGCTTCGCTTTGAATGTGGCAAGTGTATCCTGCTTTCTTTAAAGGCCTCAACATTTGGCATTTGTTTCCAAATTTAGCTTTAAATTTTGTGTAAAAAAGGAAACCAAACAAATCATGATCAGAACTTGCTAGAGTAAGGCCTCCAGGATATCAGTCTGAAACCCCTGTTTGACTGGAAAAGACCTATTTGTGTGTACAAGTACTGCTACAGAACTCTGGGTCATAAAAAAGGGAGCAAATACAAACAAGAAACTAGTTATGTTTTAGCTGAATACTGAATTCTTCTCACATCAGTACGTATCACTGAGACCAAGCCACAGTTTCAATCAGCTAGATACTACTCTTCCTATTACCTAGTATCAAATTGTTATTCTTCAAAGCCTAGACACACAAATACTCTGCAGTCACAAGATCCAGAGCATAAAATGAGGTATCAGAGTTTAATTAAGCAACAAAACAAATGCTTGAAAAGTTGGATCAGGTCCCAAGGAAGAAATTAACAATGAAGTTACCTTTGTGTTTGTAATAAAGAGCTCCCACATGTATGTTGCTAACTTTTCCTCTTCGATTTCTCTTACTGTTTTTTTGCAACCACCAGGATCCCTAAGTGAAAACAATTTAATTAATTTTCCATTTTGAGAGTCTTGCTATTATTATTATTATAAGTTCTTTTTAAGAAATTTAATAAATGGAGAGTAAATTGTGGCTGACCGCTACTATGACGTATATCTTTGCTTATAAGAAATGGAAAGACAATGCAAGGTGTCTAATCCATGAGTAAGTTATAGTCATAAGTGAAGAAGAACCTAAAGAAAGCACATTCATTCTACAAACTATCATGCATGTACTGCGACAGATTATGCTCTCAACTTCCTCTGTGCAAGTACTGAAGAATTTTGTCCAGCATAACAAGATTTTATGGATAGAAATGGCAGCAGGTTCATACAAGTTCAACTTTTCAGTGCTGTTGGCCGAGTGAAGACCTGTACTAGTCCAAAAGTTTAAGTGTTACATCATGTTGACAAATGTAAATGTGGAAGCTGCAGTTCCTTGCAGCTGTGGTATAACAGGTCACTGCTGAGGTAGTTTCATTTATCATTCATTCCCCATCTTGATTAAATGTTTTAGAAAGCAGATTAGTGTTCTAAACTTGCTTCCTTAACCACATTTTAAAAAAGCTCTTTTTGCAGACAGAGACTACGTGATCTAAAGGTAAGCCTAATTTTTCCATGGTTATTGTGTAATGAAGGATGTGTGTATGCAGATCAGTTCAAATGATGAGGGAGAGGAGTGGTGGTTAGAAACAGAGAGTAGAAGGAAGTATACAGCAAGAGACTGCACTACTTCAGAACCTGGAAATTAATACAGAGCTTTATGTACCTATACTCTGTTGTCAGCCTGTATTTGTGAGACTTGCTGATCAACTGTTTCTTTTATCCCAGTCGATTGGTTTGTCTTCATATGTAAAGGGGTGAAAAACCCATTCACAATATATACTGGACCGATTCTCTCCTCCAATTTATCAGGCCAATTCTATATAATGCTACTCTGCCACCTCTCTTATACATAGGCATAGTTTTTCTTCACTGATAATATACAGAGAAAACAGAACAGCTTTGAAGAGCTTTGCCCGGCAAATCAGAGCATAAACTGTTCACTGTTTTACCAAACAGTCAGGAATAATTTAAATACATGTTATGTCAACATGAGTGTATTGACTAGAAATGTTGGGAACCTAAATTAATATTTACTTTTAACAGTATAAAAGTTCAGAAGAAATGCATCCTTTACAAGTACTCATCACTGTCATACATAATTGATAGAACAAAACCAGCTATAAAATATCACTTAATCGCTGGCTTTGTTCTGTAATTGTAATGTATATGGAACTCCTGTTGAGTTCACCGGGATAATCCTCCAAGGGAAGTCTATGGGAATATACATACATCTATTACTACATGTATTTAATTTGCATAATTATTAGCCAAAAGAGAAAAAGGAAAGAAAACAACTAAATTTGGCTGGGATAGCTCAGTATTTTCTCTTATAGTTCTGCAACTTGCAAAAGCAGAGGACCATGCTGTGCTACTGATTTGACTGTACAACTCCCTGCTGACTGCATGGGGACAAAGTTGATGCAAAATTTGTTTATGTTGTGTGGCACAGAATTAATAACATTTCACTCAGATAGTTATTACTTGAAAGAAGAGGAACAACAACATATAAAGGACAAAAGATCTCAAACTCCTCATTCCATCTACTATCATGCATTGTGCACATACGTTGGATTCCAACAGGTTAATATGGAATGCATTGAACTGTTGGATTCGAGAGTCAAAGCTTCCAAAAGCCAGTGTATGGCGCACAGTTGTCGGAAGAGATGTTCACTGCAAAGAGGATAAACAAATGTTATACTACAGAGTCAGGGAATAGTCAAACTGGCACCATGTTAGTTGAAATAGATACATTAAGCATTTCTGTAGAAGATGATTTTTTTCATTGACCCAGTGAATTCTAGACACCTCTCTAGGTTTTTGTAATGTTGATGCATAACTCTGAATTCCGAAAGCATATTTTTGGATAAGAAATTTTCAAAGGACTTACCTTGCTGATGTGCTCAGTGCTTTCATACCCATGAGGACTCCCAGCACTTACCCTTTTATGGTATGGATGCTTATGGGTTTTGGATTCTACAGTAGCTTCTAAGTTTTGCATTTAAGAAAAAGCAGTGTGTGAGCTTAAAATGTTGGACCCATCTTTTTCCAAACTAAGATTATCTTTGGCATTTTAGCTTATTCCACATGCAAATGTAAATAAAGACACTTTTGGTGAGCAATTGGGTTAATGAACGTAGAACAGAACAGACAGTGAGTATTAGTGACTAATGCAAAATATATAGAAGTGCACACAGTATAGGTACTGTCTTCTCCCTCTCTCTTTTGTGAGCCTACTTTTTTTTTTTTTTTTAAGTAGGCAAATTTCAATTTTCATAGCCTTTCCTTAAAATGAGCCTAATCTTGAAAGCTATACCACATAAGCAAATTTTATGCAACTTAGTCAGAATTTGCCAAGTCAAGATCAGCAAGGCATGTGCTGTGTGTTTGTCTACACGTGCACATATGAAGTTTTCAGTGACTCATTAGGATTCAATCATTTCAAGTTAGAATTTCACAGTTGCTATTAATAAAGGTAGACTATTTCATCATAAACCGAAATTCTCAGGATACCTTTTTACCAGTTGAACAGCAGCTCTAGTTGAATGTGTTATGGGTCTGTGTTGCTGTGAATTTTGCTTATGTTCTATCAAGGAGGGCAGAACATAAATCTGACTTCAAATATACCTTTTTGCTCCAGGGGGGCTTGGAATCAAGACACTGGTATAAACAGGAGTGAAAGACCGTAAAGTCATATTTTTTTTCTTCTTCCCTGACTTCCTCAGCTGGTTGCCTTCTGCTAGAGAACAACTGTGGGAAAGGACAAAGACTGAAGTTAAAAAAGGAGTATGTGAAACAAAGGCATTGCCAATAAAACTGTTCATTGTGTACATGTCACCACACTCCCTCTTCTCCTCCTTACATTAAAAAAAAAAAAAAACAAAACAAACCCTAGATGTATTTCTAAATTGTTAATTACTGCATTTGTTATAATTTATTAATATTTCAAACTCGATATTTATGTTTACCAGGTTGTATCATTATTATTTCTTTCTAATATGCTTACAGGACTTTATAAATATGGTATTATTTGTATCTACATATTTATACTACTACTTATTATTATCAGTTAAGCATTTATGTGAAATCGAATTTGGGAGAAGGTAAAGAATCATGACTGATTTATTTGAGAAAAGATGCTGAGATACTGCTTACATTCCTCTACACTTGTTTTCTGTTGGTATCATACCAATGGCATCAGTGGGATTATATAGATGTGGACAAAGTTTCAAGATGTGCCTGTAAAATTCTGTTTGATTTTTCCTGGGTTAACATACTGTGTGTGCAGAAAACAATAAAGATTAAGTTGAAAAGTTTCACCCCAATGAAAAAGAGTCTTGAGTCCTGGCCAAACCAAAACTGAGCTCTTCATAGGCTGAGGTCACCATTTCTTCACTGCTACAAGCCTGTTTGGCCATTTACACCTGTGCAAAGTGTTTATAAAATGCTACCAAGAAAGAAAAAGAAATATTCACAGCTGTGTTTTCCAAATGTAAATAGCTACCTGCACCTGGTGTTAGACAATGGAGATTAAAGCTTAATAAGAGCAGTGAGACATTGTAACCTTCATGTACCAATAGTATACAGAAGATAGGTGGTCCACACATTAAACAGAACATGAACTGCTGTATGTTGGATCATAAATTAGTATAAATCTGAAATTATACTGGCCATAAAAAAAATAGCTGAGAGGTTAGCCAAGATCTGAGTGGTAGGTGAGTCTTAAATCTGTATTCAGATTTCTTTATCAGAGACATCCTAGATGAATGATTCTGGATTAACATTTTCTTTCTAGATCTGAAGCAGTATGGAGATGTCAACTTACTATTGCCTACTACAAACTAGCAAATAGTTGGAATGACGGTTTGGAAGTGTGTCCCCCAAACATTCCACTAATACAAATTTTCTAAAGCAGAGCAGCAACAGTAAATAGTACAAGCTGGCAATAGTACAAACTATTAAAAAATAGTACAAACACTGGCAGAGGCATCTCAGCACTATATTTAAACAGAGATCAACATGTCTGTTTTCTTCAGCTAATTAAGAAATTAACAAACTTACATACTGGTTTGTCTAATGAAGGAGATATCTAACAAAGATATAAACTGGCAGGTGTCCCTGCTGCCCCAAAGGTAATTTCTTACACAAAATCTCAAGAAGTGGTCTTATTCATTCAGATAATCTTAGACAAATTGTAACTGCAAACCTGTACATATTAGAGATGATGAGGCACATGAATTCCACAGACTTTGTTGTTCAAAACAACATGTCTGTCTTATGCTTCCTCAAATTACACCGCCAATTTTCTCTTCTCCGTAATCCTAATGAACGGAATGCCAGAATAGACAGTGGGACCATTATATATGCATTGATGTGTTTCACAGGGTCCACATTTATGCTAATGAGGGATAACTAAACTTTACTTGTGTACGATAAGAAGCTGCTACCAAGTTTAGAGCATTGATACATTTAAAACAGTTGATAACAGAATTAAATACTACCTTGTATGTAACAGCAGTAAAAAAGTCCCAGTAGAGGTTTAATACTTGCTGTTGTCTTACAGGGAAAAAGAGGAAGGGAGGTGGGAAAGGCCTACATCCATCGCTGGGATCTGTGCATATAAAACCATGCCAACAGTTTCAGCTGCTGTGAAAGACTGAAGCCAGACATCATCCGTTAAAAAGACAATTTGTGCCCCAGCAGTGTGACACTGCTTCAGAGCTTTTCTTATTCTATGAAGTTCCTACTTTGTGAAGTCAGCACGGTGAAAGCTAAGAGCGAAGTAAGTCACCACAACAGGTAATGATCTGTATTTTGTATCTCGGCTTCCCCCACCCCTGCCTTAAACAGTTTACCACTGCAGACAAGCATATGTATAACAGCACACAACTGGAATGAATATGTGCTGGCAGAGATCCTGCATGTGTGTAAATCACATGGGACACTTGGAGTAAGTAAAGGCACACTTGTCAGAGCCATTCTTTTCTCGTTTCACATGCGTTTCATTGTGTACTCCCATCCCACCCAATACATCCTGGAGTTGAGAAAATTCTCCATAAGACTCCCTAATTTTGACATCTGATAAGTCTAATGATTTCCCTCTTAGAAATGTTGGCAAATGTTAGATGCCTTGCCTCTAAAAATGAAGCTAAACTCCGAATTAATATTAGTTTTAATATTAAAGTAATACATTGAAAATATTGCAGGATATCAGGTTTACACTAGGAACTTTTGCTAGTGTAGATTTTTAGGTTAGTTGTAAGATTTTTTTTTTTTTTTTTTTTAATTTGTACAATTGCCAAAAATCCTAGTGCAGAGGTAGGATTAAAGTAGCTTTGTCAATATCCACCCACAAGCCTGGTATACTCTGCACCAGTAAAAGCTTTTTTATTGCTAGGAGAAGCCATATCTAAATTAAGATAATTTTGCCTATGCAGGTATACTTTCATAAAGGAAAGAGGAATGTGCTGAAGAAAGAAGCCTTTCCTTACAGAAGAAAATAAATTACTTCAATAATCTGAATGGTCACAATAATAAAGGCAATGACATTTTTAATATGTGTAATAAATTATCCATCTGCAGTAAGTGTGGATTAGCTGAGTTATGGGTAGATAGAACAGTTACATGTTAAAAAGAATAATAAACATGAAGTTTAGAAAAAGCTTTTGGGGAGGTTCTTAGGTTTTTGGGTTTTTTAAATATTAAATAATCTTGTTTACCTAAAATGTTCATGTGGCCTTCATTAACCTAGGATCAAAGTGCTTCATAGTGCCATTTAAATAATATAGCTGTATGTGACTTGTTTAAGTAAGGAGTTTTAGATGATGCACACAGTAGAAGCTAAGATGCCAAAATACTTTGACTAATACTCTATGACTTTTCTCCTCCATAATACTATCTCTCAGTAATACTCCTTTCCCACCTTTTCTTGCTATTCAGTTAGTGACCATTTAGAATTCTGAATATTAAAAGTTACTCTAGTAAATACGACACTTTGCTGTACAGAATCTCTCAGCCTGTCTGTGCTACTTGTTTGCTATTTGGTCTGGGTTTCATACTAGCAAGAAAGATTTTATTTCTTATTTTTTAATAATGGTTATATATTGTTGTCCCACTACATGACTAGGCTGTGACTGCATCTTAGATGACTCTGGAGACTGAGCTTTCAAAGTTGAGACTCAGTTCATGGAAGAAAGGTGAATGAGTGGCAGCTGGTGCCTGGGAGTGTCAAAAGCCACAGCAAACTGATGAGAAAAGACTGTTAGAGATGGATGAGCTTTTGATGCAATAAGGCTCTAAAGGTGTGTAACCTCTAGAAGAGCTACTCTGTCCTGCTGAGCAAGTATTTAATCATCACCTAGTGAGGGCTGACAAATGGAAGACAACTACCTCGTTACAACAGGCATTAGAGGTACACTGAAAAGACCACTGTGAGCCAAAAGATTGAATACTATTTAATGATCAAATGAAGACAAACCCTGAAGAAGGTTGTAATAGGTCTGAAATACCAAAGAAACCCACCCTGCAAGCTAAGCCACTTATTCTGCTGAATGCAATTCTTTTTTATTCTTAATGCTGTGGCCCCACTGTGGAAACAAAAGCATTGCACAAACTCACCAGGCCTTCTCCTTTTCTCCTCAGAGAATCAGTTTTGAGCGGGCTATGAAACTTCTGCTGAGTTCACTAACCTTCAGCCTACTAAACTTCCTCCTTTTTAAACAGCACCTCAAGCATTTTTCTTTCATGCTTGCTAAGTTTACAGCTGCTCACTTACCCAGACTTTAAGCATTTTCTCTTTCTAGTTCACACAACTAGTAATATTCTGCCTCAATACCAAGTAATGACAGAAACTGGAAATTGGTGCTTTTTAAAACCACTGCCCTCAGACCACCAAAAGCCCTCTGACTTGACTTACGCGTTTATTTCTTCCTCTGACTCCTCTGCATCGGAGTAGTATTTGGGTGGCTGGAACTCAGTTCTCAATCTCATGCCCTGAGCCTGCTGGGCTGCTTTCAGTGTGTTCTTCCTCTCCAGTGATTCTTGGTGAAGTATATGAAAGTATTCTCCACCTTGCTTCACAGAATTGATGTGACGCCTGACAAAAATCATCACAAGTTGGTCAGTGTACTAAAGACACACTATCAAATTGATTAATTACTCTGTTGCCCACCAACTTAATATTTAACAGAGATTTCACATTCTTCAAGAGTTCAACATTAGTATTTCCTTCTGCAGTGTGATAACGAAGGACAACAACTTCCCATTATGAACTGGGACATCTTTCCCTTATCTCTTTCAGCACTGCATGGGTTAACTATCAGGTGTCTTGACCGAAGCATCACTTTGTCCACTACTTGATTTAAAAACTCCCTGCCTAATTCTAATTTATAGCAGCCAGTTCACCACTGGGCTCCTCACTGTCTTAAACTCAGTTGTCACAGCCTGACAAGCACTGCCCTTAAGCTACCTATTAGCTGCTAAATTCCACTTGCTGTCAGAAAGCTGCATTGTTAGTAACAGGGAAGATGCCAGTGAAGCCTGTGAGTGAGCTGAAGACAACAGGCAGGGTATTACTGCAAGAGAAGAAAATAAAGAAGAAACCGTAATGCACTCCCTGTAGGATGACAGCCAGCAAAGGTAAAAAAAAAAAAAAAAAAAAAAAAAAAAAAATAGAAAGAGTGAGCCAGGGCAGTGAAAGCAATATGGCACACAATTATTATACAGCCTTTGATTAAAATGTTAGCAAGAATGTAGCAGCTGATCCAAGTCGGACTAGCATACTATCCAGGCATGGAACACATCCCTTTAAGTTAATGTATTGCTGACTTTTGAATCAAGTGTCATCAGGCTGTATTGATTCTTTCAAACACAATCTAGGCTTGAAAGCTGAGCCTCATTTGTTTTACTGACAAGTAATAACTCCCTTTTTTTACCAGACCTGTATTAAAGCACCTGAAGGTCATACAGGGTGCAAATTTCAGGCACTGAATTCCCAAGTTCTCAAGGGGAACAGTTTACTCCTTATTTGCTGCCCTTGATGAAAAAACACTTGCACAATTTAATGGTTTTGTTGACACGATTTTTTTAAGTCCACCAACTATAAATAAATACAAGCCTGAAGACATTTCCTGTTCAGGTAGATAACCTAGCTGCTAGATATTTCTATACTAACTTTGGAAAAAGAAGTAAAAAAGATAAGAAAATAAGTTGTCCCTGATAAGAAATGCTGCATGCTTTAGAAAAACATAAGGTTTTCATTGTCGTGTCAGACTGGCTTAATGTTTTTCTTAAGAGCCTAGTATTTTGCATAAGAGACTTCTCTTGGAATCCTAGAAAATATCTGATGGCCTCAAATTCTTGCTTTATGGCCTTTTCCAGTATTTTTCTCTCTTTCTGTCAACTATTAAGATATTTGTATGTAAAAATATCTTCTTCCCTTCACAATGCTTTTTCTATATTTCTGCATGCACTAATTTAAGTATTCCTTCCTAAACATCGAAACCCCTGCTGAAGCTGTGTATTATAACACCACAAATAGTGAACAATGAGGTTATTACATGAATCAAAGACAAGTGGTAGAGAAAGATAATTATAAACTAGAAAGTTCTTTTACATTACCAGCCATAACCAGCATTACTGGAGAAAGACAAATAAAAAGCAAGTACAATCAGTACTATTTCTTAAGGTTAATCTAATATAGAAGGCTTTAATATGTGTATACCAAAATCAGTGATCACTCTCATATACTCATAGAAATAGGAAATGTCCCGCACACTTGTCAATGAACATTTTTAGTCTATGACTTCCTTGAAGTCCCAGGTATTACAAAAAGTAGCTCTACAGTCTCCAAGTACAGAAAAATAAATAAAGTAGAATTAAGAGAAATGCAGTATATAAAAAAGCTGTAATAACTACCAGATTTAAACATAAAATTCCTCTCATAATTCCACAGAATAATTTCTGTAATATTTATGAATGACCCTAAAGGTTCATGAACTTTTGTTAGGAAAACAGTAAAATAAATCCAAACTGAAAATACAGAGGTGATCAACGTACTCTTCTACACTTTAGATTTACCGTATATTGCTGGAATAGGACATCAAATATTTCTCCATTTAAATTCTGGCATCACAATACACTGTTTATACAATAACATAATAAATTTAGCTGGGCTGTCTATTTGACAAGTAGGTGAGAATCATTCATTAAAATGCAAATGTAATAGAGATGAAATTTGGAATACATTTATTAAAGTAATTGAACTTCAGTCAACTGTAGACACAACACAGATTTTCAACTGCTGTTCATACAAAAGGATTAGTCTTATTTTTCTATGTTAATATCTTTACCAGCATGAAAATTATAATAGTTTCCTGAGCAGAAATAATGTACCATAGAATACTTCAAGTTTTCTCTACAGGAATATATTATTACAGATAAGGGTCAGTGACATGTGCAAAGGAGTGACCCAGTAGTGTACTACACATACAGAAGCGAGTATTTTTAGTGCTTGGTGTAATGATGTACTTATTAAATTACTCTTTAAATCCTTTAGGAACTGAAGGTCATCAGTTAGTTGTAATACAAGGCCATTAAGGTATTGGGGAATTGAACTTTTACTGCTAAGATTTGAGATTCTTGGTGCCTGCATTTGAGTAAGAAATGACTCTCAAAAATAAAAGGAAATCATAAATTTGTCTTAATTATAATATAGGTTCTAGAAAAACATTAAGAAACTATGGTAATAATGCCAGAAACCTTTGCATCTGGATAAAGACAAGCTAGGTATTTACCAGGTTTTTCTACCTTCTGCTTAGATATACCTTATTTAAATACATTGAGTCATCTTCACTAAATTCAAAGGAATCATGCTGAGGATGTATTTGTCCCAGAAGATCAAATTTTACAGTTAACAACCTCACATCTACTTTGTACATAATTCAGTGGGAGATGGTTTACTAAAAGAATGACATGCACTGCTGAACACATGATGTCAAATCCTTGCTCAGAGAAGCTGGTATATCTCCAGCCTGAACAGAATTGCTAGAAAGATGGGCGGAAGGCTGCGTAAGTATGTGGCTATCCCTCTATCAAGTAATTGTATTCAATGTGGTGAGTGGTGTTACCAGGGTGCTTCAGTCTCATTACCTCTTTCTGCTAATCTCCCTCTCTCCCATTCCCCGTGGTGCAAAGTAGCACCCGTCTATTTATATCAGCTTGATTCTCTCTAAGATTGAACATTATATTATGAAGATGGTGAACAAAACTGTGCGCTGTAAAATAACTATGTATCTATCAAACAATTTAACTACATACATATTTCTCTGATCATGGAAATTATTAGCCACTTTCATAAAATGACTTATTCAAATTTCTTATCTTAATGAATACAGTCTTTAAATCAATAAAGCTAATGACATCATCTCTTGCTCCAGATTCTGTACAGAAAGAATTTAACCTTTCCAGAAGCTTATAACCAATTGCAAATATAAATGAAACCAGCGTGGCATTGTTCTGAAAGCCACTGAGAGCACAGGCTTTCTAAATGCCATTTCCTATATTTTCATAATAGCATTTCAATCTGCATCTGCAACAAGTCCTTACTAGACCAGTAAAAGCTCCTCCTTGGGCACAAGGCCAGACCCTGCTAAAGAGTATCAGCTGGGCTCGGCCTAACTTGTTGCACTAGTGACAAACTGAATATGTGCTAAGGCTTCCCAGGTGAAAAACTAGTGTAATTTTATGCACACTGCCACTTAAAAGCATTTGGAGCAAAAGTTTTCTATAGCAGAAAAAAAGAATACAAACAACAGTCCACTTCTGTATACAACAGAAAGCACACGAAACTTTGAAACTACAGTAAATACAGTTAAACTGTATTCTGAACATTACAGACTAAAACCATGGATTAAAATCCAGTATAATTCTTCTAAATGAACACTTAGCATTAGTTGCAGCCATCCCATCATGAGCTGTGAACCAATCAAAAATCTCAAATGTGGCTGATGTGTATTTCGACCCTGAAGAATTCAAAGAAATACTCACTGAAGGAAGCGGTGAGAGCAGCCAGTTTGCTGTTTGGATTAAACTTGAAATCTATGCCCTCACCTAGTTTTAGGGGGCACTGTGATACTAGAGGGTCGGACTTTTTGAATGTATAATAAAATGGAAGTTCTGACAACCTGAAGTTATTATAGAGCCTATGCTAATCTCTGCAGGAGTGCGAGCATTAACACCTGCATTCTCATCAGATTTCAATTGATTAAATGTTACTGTCCTTGCTGCTGTTTCAGTTGGAACAGGACACTTTTTTTCATCACTCCACTCCCTCAAAACACTATGCTGTGTGTATATGTGTTAACACACATCAGACTCCATTTGAGCTGTTGCTGGATTCTAATAGCCACAGTAATTCTTACAGGTCCCTTAACTTTCTGAAAAGGTGCTGTAGTGCCTATCTAATAATTGTAAAACAGTGGGAAATGGCAAGATAAAAGAAAATCCATATGCATACAACGCTTTTCTTATTTACAAAGCACACATAGAACAACAGGAGAGCAAACTCTGCATTTCTCATAAATTGTCAACAGTGATACCGATTTGTACCAGGAGGGAATCTGTTCCATTCTCTTATCAGTAAATACTCTAGCTGCTGACTATTTCACTCAGTTCTTTAGTGCTTTACATTCAGCATTGTAATCTATGCTAGTGTGTTCCAAATGTATTTACACTGAGATTGCTTCACAGCTTTCCCAAGGGATTGTAAATGAGAATTAGTACATTGTTCACTCCAGATATACTCAGTGAGTTATTACAGGGTGCATAGACTACCCACCTTCTGAAATTACCAAAAGCCATGGAGTTAAATTTACATGGTGGTGAGCCTGAGCTAGCAAGTCCTACTATTGAGTTCTGCATTTGGGTCGTATCCTGAAAGCTTAGCATTTGAACAAGAAAAAGCTTGCAATTATTCACAAATAATACGTAGATACTAATGTAAATTAGTTATGAGTTCTGGTTTGGTAGTGTTTACGGCTAAGTTAGAGATGCAAACATATCGACATGAGGCAATGGAGAATCAGGAACACACTGGTT